CATCATCAAGCTTCTCAATAAAAAAAGGTTGTGGGATGGTCTTCTTAGCTAAGCACCACACCAATCCAAACATTACGCGTCGCATTCAACTTTGATGGCTCGCTGGAAATCATGCTGAACTAAAATCAGGGCCATTGCAATTAGCTCATTCAAATGCTAAAAACTGTTTTGAGCGTGTAGCTCTTAATTTTTTTTCGGATATGAGTGATGATATTGAGGCGAGGCTATGGAAGTAACGCACATTGGTTAAAGATTGTGGTGTAGGCCAACTTATAATAGCTTCTGCCTTAGCCGAATCCGGTTCAATCCCTGCAACAAATATGACAAAACCCAAAAATTTCAGTTTTGTAGTTAAAAATTAGCATTTTTGAAGATTGGCAAACAATCGCTTCTTCTTTAACGCATTAAAAATTTTTCAAATGTGTTGTAAGTGTTCTTTCATAGAACCACTATTGATAAGAGTATCGACACTGTAAACCACCACGAATTTGCAAAGAAACGGTCAAAAAATTTGAGTCGCATGGCACAAGAAATTGTTGGCCGCGAATGGCATCATTGTCCATTTGAAAAGCCAATCCCAATTTTTAAAGATGGTTTTTCATTTGTCTCCGTCTCTCATTCATATTTGATGATATCTGCTTCCTAGATCAAGTTTAGAAAAATTTCAAGAGCCATGCAACTTATCAAACATATGATCTCCTCGAAGAATAGGAAATTAATATTTTACTTTTATTTGTCAATGCACATTCTAGAAGACCCATCTTTCTCTAGTACATGTAGTGTAGGGATAGCTCACAAACTAGAGCTGGGTCGAACCAATCCCTTGAACATTTTTTCAACTTGTCTAATTCTTGTCAGGCTTCTTTTGATAAGCTGGACGGCTTGAAATTATTGCACCAGTGATGGACAAAGTTTATAGAACGTTGGACTTCACATAATGGTGGTAATCCTCTAGGAATTTCAGCAACAAAAATTTTAGCAAACTCATTTTTATGCCAGAGTTAACCCAAATCTCAAACAACATGCAAATATTATCGCTGAAATTGAAGTAGGTTATAACAAAGACTTTTTTAAAAACAGAAAATAAATGACAACAAACATAAAAGACACCCTTTGGTAGGGGTGTAAATGAACTGAATACGAACGAATAGAGCTTGTGTTCGTGTTCGGTTCGTTTGAAATTTAGTTTGTTTGAAATAAGCTCGCGTTCGAAATTGTTCGTGAAGTCACTTTTCGTGTTCGTTTCTTAACGAACGGGCCGAACACGAGCTGTTCGCGAACGGCGAGCCAGTTTGACATCCCTAATATTAATATATATAAATAATATATTATATTAATTATATAACTTATATTATATAAATATATAATTTATTATATATTATAATTAATAAAATTTAGATTTTTAAAATATCATTAATTTTTTATATATAATTATTTTAAATTATTTTAAATTTCGAACAATAATAATGCGAACACGGACGAAGGAACGCATCACTGTTCGCGTTTGGTTCGTTTAACTAACCGAACGAAAAAAATTTTGTTCACGTTCGTCTCTTTTACTTCTCTTTTACTTATCGAACGATATCGAACGAATCAAACACGAACTTATTGACGAACCGAACACAAACTGTTCGCGAACAACGAGCTTTTTTGATGGCCCTACCCTTGGGCGATAACTAAGGTGGTGGATGGCGGTTGGACACAGATGGGGTGCGGGTTGCAGGTTCAGCTGTGGGGTTTGCAAAGGGGGTGGTGACGACGCTGGAAGATTGGTAGTAGGTGTTGTCTAGTGCAGGAAGGCTAGAGGTGTTATTACGACGACAAGTTGGGTCGCGAGATGAACTCAAGGCAACAGGTGGAGAAGACAGAGAGGTTGTTGACGTGGGGGCTATGGAGGATAGAGTAGCCCTCAAAGGGAGGGGAGTTGCCACTCCTTCCTTTCTCTTCTCTCCCATTCCCCTCTTTCATTCTTAGCATCTTCCTAATATGTCTTTCCAAATCATAATTTCTGAATATTTTTATTCCTCTTTCCTCAATTATGAGATTTGATTTTGTTTTTCCTTCTTATTTTAAAAATCTTTCCTAAAATCTAAAATTTGATTTTATTCTACTTTCTTATTTTAAAAAGTCATTTCTAAAAATTTGAAATATGATTTTATTCTTTTACTTATTTTAAGTATTGCCTAAAATAAAGTCTTAGCCTCATTATATATAGAGGATGATGTGCTTAGTGTTAGGTGTCTTGTTTTTTATATCTGAATTCATGTTTTTGCCTTGATATTTTCCTCTTAGAGGGTTGTATCAAACGTCGAGGTAGTGCTTCGACTGTCCCTCATCCGATGTGGTGATCGTCTCCAAGAGTCCAAGTGGTGCTCCGGCTGTAGCTCGACCCAAACTAGATATTTATCTTACCATACTACCGTTTCCCCGCTGCCATTTCAGAATCCGGCCACTGTAACCCCCTCTTCCACTGATGTCAGCCACCGCAGCCCCTCCAACTTTTTGTCCAGCCCTTTCAGGCCATTTCCGGCAGCCCACTGACACCTCTACAACAGCTACCTTGCAGTTCCGACCTTTCCCATCGCTGCTAGTGCTTCACCGTTTGTTGTCCACCCTCCGAAAGTTTTGGCGAACCTTCCCATCTATTGTTCTAATTCTTCCACAGCAGCCCTCACCTCTCTGACCTTCACTGTAGCCGCCGATCTAGCCTCCAATGACGTTCCTGGTTCTCTCCAGTCGTTACTATCGCCAACCTGTTGTCCTACTTCTTTCACAACAACCCCCATCTTTCCGACTTTCACTGCAACCACCAGTTTAGCCTCCTTTCATAGGACTCTCCTCATCAAGCATGTTGTGTCTTCTTTGTTAAGTCATTAGTTGTAATCCTTTGTTTTGTGTGTTATCTTTCGTTATTTCGAGTCATCATTGTAACCTTATTTCAAGTCAGTAGTAAAATTATGTCTTGCATCATGGATTGGGCTAACTCCGGTATAAGTTGCGATATGCAGAGACTAAGGTAATGGGATGGTGCGGTTATTGGTTAGGTGGGAGGAGGGATGCAGTCAGCAGGGAAGGAAATACATGGGTGTGTATGTGGCTGTAGCTTGGCAGGCATGAGGGTGATGACAAGGAAGCAAGCAACAAGCAGAAAAGGGAATAAGTGCATGATAATTATCCCTGCAGGTGTGAGTTACAGCCGGAGCAGCACTTGAACCATTGGAGAAGATCGTCACTTAGGATGAGTTATAGTCCGAGTACCTCCTCTCCTTTTGATACAGGTCTAGAAGGGAATATAGCCGCCGACGACAAGCTGGACCAAAATCTGAACTCTGGACTAAAACTAAACCCGATGCAAACAAACAACAAATATATAATAGATATAGAATAGGAAGAGGAGGTCCTTCCCCTTTGGACGGCAAAGCAGGCTCCTTAAGTGGCAATCTTAATTGGAAAGGGAGGAGGGAGTGATAACTCCCGCTCACAGACCAACCAACCTGTCCAGCTTCCTTACTGGACCGGCTCCCTCCTAAACCGGTCGGTTCAGGCATCAAGCCCGGGGTTACATTTACTATAGTTTTAATGACTTAGGAATCTATTCATATTCAGAGTTCATTTCCACCAGAAGAACTACATTGGCCCGAATGGCTTCCTGCAAATCATTTAAAAATAATGAACGGGGTTGTTGGGAGTTGCAGCTGATGTCCTCCGATGAATACTATGTATCATCCTTCTCAAACATCGACATTAACACAATGCAGACCCCTTCACGGCTGAAGCAAGTGTTAGCAGTAGCATCATGAACAGTTTTCCTATCATATAACCATTGTCTACCCAACAATTGATAACATGTGTCCATAATTACTATATCACACAAAATATGATCTTAAAATCTGCCAATGGAAAATTTAATTAAAACTTCTTTTTTACACCTCCATTATGTTTGTAGTTTGAATCTAAGATGGTTTGTAGGATTGTTGTCTTCAATTGTAATTTATCAACCATAGCAGTTGACATAACATTCTCACAACTCCCGCTGTCGATAATTAGCTGAGACCTTGCCTTGGACAGTGCAATGGGATCGGAAAATGCTATGTCGAAGCCAAGCGTCTTCCTTCCTAGCATTAAGACGTCTCTGAATAACTTGCAACCCCCCTTCACCTTCTTCTTTGAACAACTCCTCGAGCTGATCACTGTTCTCGTTTGCAGCTTCTCCAACATTTTATTGTTCAGGTTCTTCCACGAGCGAAATAATACGACGATTTGGATAATTTGCAGCAATATTTGCAATATTTGACCAGACCCTTCATCTACTTCTATGAAAGGGTTGGAGTAGCTTCAATGGCAGACAAGATTAGGGAGAAGTGTCTTTAGATGGTTTGGTCACATTAAATGTCAACCATGTGATGATCCTGTCAAGTTTGTAGATGTTTTAGAATTGACTTATGCTAAGAAAGATAGAGGTAGACCTAAAAAGACTTGGACATGTATAAAAAATGATCTTCTTTATTAGAATTAAAAAATGAAAACATGACACTCAACATGACACAATGGAGGAAAATGATTTGTTCAGCTGATCCCGCTTAATGGGATAAATGTTTGTCGTTGTTATAGGAAACTATGATACCGTTTTTCATGTATATGAAATATGGTATTTACACTTTAGGTGCAGACATGTAAATACTTGGGCAATTGAATGTGGATGCAGGAAAAACTTCCTGTTTTCTACCTATTCCCTTCCCTTTGCCTTTCCTCTCTGACTCTGCTTCTTCCTTCTCTGTAATTGGGAGTTTTGCAAAAAAATACTCTCACATTCATTCCTGTAATTTCTTTTTTGCATCTCTATGTATTCGAAGATCTTTCAATAATTATCAAATATTTTCTTCCTTTGATTTCAGTTCAATACAAAATAAATGCATTGTTTTGTAATTATGTTTTTATACCCCCCTTAATATGCCTTCAAAGCTCCTTTTTAAGACTCTTCATATTGAATGGTGCTACAGAAGCGTACCAGAGCGGAGAACTGCAGGAGCTGTTGGAGAAGGCAACGTGTTCTTGACAAGCACAGCCTTAAAATAAGATTGTCAGATCTATTTTAGTGGAAAAATTACGAGTAATGCCACAGTTATGTCTCTCTCTCTCTCTTTGTGGTGGGAGATTTACATGCATACCACTTATTTCTTATGTATTTGCATATCAACACAACTTCAGTTTTTATATATGTGCAACATTCTCTCTATGCTTGTAAAGGTTTATTTCATTTTTTTTAAAGTTAAAATTTTGATATTTTTTATGTGATATGAAATATTAGCGCGGTTTAATTGTAAAAAAAACAAAGTTTAGGTGTTAGATATATAAATAAGGAGAATTATTTGCGTACGTAATACGTACATAGAGTTGCGTACATAGTAGGTTATTATGAGGGTACAACTAGGTTACATCTAGGTTATACCCCTTGTAATTCTTTCATTAACCTAAGTGTAACTTACACTTAATATGTACACAACTCTGCGTACGTCTTACGTAGGCAAATATTTCTCCCGGATATAGCTATTTTTTTCAATATTAATTGTTAAATTGTAATACAAAATTATAGTTTTTGAAAATTACTGTAAGAAATGTTTTGAAAAGACGAATATTCAAAATTTGAGGATCAATTGGGAATTTAATTTGATGGTATTATAAATTTTACCATGGTTCGAATAAAGTGATAATAATATAATATTATTTTTTTTAATCAATTTAATGCCGAGTAATTACTTACATAGCACACGAAACATTCTATTTGCAAATCTAGCACCCTCTTTTATTTTTTTTTCAAATTTTGTTCAAAATATCAAATTTCATGATAAAATTGCGACCTATATTTTTCATTTTTTTATATAATTATGGGATCAGTACTGCGTGTGAAGTCTTAGAACGCATCTTTCCATTATTTAATTTTCCTCATAATTCATGTCACATGTTTGATGGGTGTATTTTGAGTATGGGTTGGTTTTCATATATTAAATAAATAAAATAATTTTTAATTTTTATGTATATTACTATTAAATTATAATTTATTTTTTAAAAATATTTTATTAAATAAGTTATAATTAATTAAATTTTATTTAAATAATATATTATATAATTCTAGAGCATCTAATACATATTCAAATTTAATTTATTTAAATTACGAGTATTAATAAAAAAATCTTATTTATTTATTTATTTATTAAAATAAATACGATTGAGTATTTTTTCTTTAAATGCATTGATTCATTAGAATTTGAAATAGGAGAAAATAATATATAAGAAGTTCATATGTGTGGATATTTATTGTAATACGAGCACATCACTTCTCACAAATTTATACATATAATATTTATTTCTTAAATAGAAGAAAATGTTATGTCTGTCATTCGGATGTGAGCATAACGATGCGGATCACATCATGTCGTGCATGCGCCGATGTGAGGTCATATATGTGATCGACATATGATTTACTAGACATAGGCACTGTTTGTTTACACTTTAATTTTATATTAAGCATGATTTATTAAATTTATTAAAATTGGATTTATTATTTGAGATAAAGATTGCTCGATTTTTATAAAAAAAATCTTTACATCCGGTGACATAGGGACGGATTGCACAAAATTTAAATTTAATGGAGCATGGAATTTAATTTATATATTTTAAATATTTAGTTGGATTTAATTTAAATTCAAGCTTAAATTATAATTAAAATAATGCAAGGAGACTTCAGAATATTTTTTGAGTTTTGGGGAAAAATTAATCCATACAGACACCGCATGCAGAGATGCATATGGAATTGTGGTGCTCGATCTTTTCTGTCGATCACACAAAGTTGTATTTCGATGGACCTCAATTTTTAATTAATTTTTTTTTTAATTTTGATTGCGGTCTGCATTAAATGTGGTTTGGGGAGATGAGCGAAAAAGTAGGTTTGGGGGAAGGAGAAAGCAGAGTGTGTGGTATGGGTTTCTCGTCCGACGAAGAACAGCGTCTTCTCACCCAACCGAAATCAAATCTCGCCGGCGATGGGGAGAGATCGGCGTCGAGGTGCGCGACGGCGGTGGTCGGAGCGGCTCCGAAGGATCAGTTCTACATTGCCCACATAATCTACTTCATTCTTGGAATGGGCTATCTCCTTCCATGGAATGCCTTTATCACCGCCGTTGATTACTTCAGCTATCTATATCCAGGAACGCCTGTCAATCGCGTCTTCTCGGTTGCTTATAAGCTATCCTGTCTTCTCCCTCTCATTTTTATCATCGGCTGGGCGCATCTTTCGTCGGCCATTGTTCGGATCAACGCTGGTTTGGTCATCTTCACCGTCTCTCTTGTCGTTGTTCCCGTTCTCGATGCCTTCTATGTTCAAACAACGAGGGGGGTTTATAGCGCCTATGATGTAACCGTCGCTGCTGTGATTCTTTCTGGAATTGGGAGTGCGCTCGTACAGGGAGGTGTTATCGGATCCGCTGGAGAGCTTCCCGAAATCTACATGCAGGCCGTTGTTTCCGGAGCTGCGGCTTCAGGTTATGATTTGACCTCAGCCCCCTTTGAATCTTTCAAGCAAATTGTATGAGTGTTTCTTTTGTTTTTTAAAACTTTTATGAGGTTAATCCAACGACAAAAAAACGAAGAACTTTAGTGATTTGGCAAGTGCGTTTTGGATCAATTTTGCCAGTGGTGTCGTGTTTTACCGGCTTTGTTAGCAGGAGCGGATGGATGTTATGGTGTGCAGGCTAGTTTGTTTGAGCTTGTTTAGTTTATCTTACTGTACTCGTTTCAAGAGAAACCAGTGGCCCAGTGGAAGATCACTTGGTAGATTGAACTAACCTCCTCATTCCACTTCCTAGAACCCAAAAATGTGTCCATTGTCGGAGAGATTATTGCATGAGGATACCATATATAAATTTGCCTATGGAGTCCAGCAACCATTTGCCACGTTGCACGTGAGACCCACTGTAATACACTGGTTGGATATATTTTTTTAGAGTAGGGCTCACTTGTCACACGACACACTTTCACTGGACTCCTGACGCAAATTTCTAGTTGTTGAGGGAAGGTTGGCTTAGGAGGTTTTGGGTCAATGTAATATGAGGCTATTGATGAGCATCATTTATTTGGTTATCACAGTTTGGAACTTTCAAATTTGCTTGAAAGGTAGATGCTTTTATGACTCTGTCTTCTAAATTTCATTAATGAATTCATTTGTACAAGTTTGCACAAACTTCAGTGTTCACCGAGTTGCCCACTTTTAACATATTTGATAATTAAAATGTGCGGTACCTCACATCGTATGCCAAGAACTCCATCGAGGGCTTAGAATTTATAAAGGCAAGAGTAGAAGCTCAGATGGTGGAAATTAAATTTTCTATATTCTTCTATAATTTAACAAGTAAAAGAGTTATTAATCAAATTAAAATATAACAATATATTAATGTTACATTGTTACTGATTATCAATGTCTGCTGTAAATATTTTCTCTTCTATAACTTATCTTTTAGTCACTTAAAAGTTATCTGAAAAAATAGTTTAAAATAAATGTGAGGTAAACGAGTCGGTGAATACTCATACTTATAAACAATAGTAATACAAGATAAATGGAAGTGATTTGCATGTCAGTCAAATCTTTAATAAATTAATAAAATATTTAATGTTATTCAAAGAACTTTATTATATCAATAACTTATAAATATCATTTTATACATGTACAACAGTCATAAGAGCACCGTCTAAATATTGTTTCAATTAAGACACATCAATATCAATATTTTTTTTTATATACGTACACAGATATCTTAGTGTTTCCACACTAGTACTATCAATGAGAGACTCCATCACAGCCAGTCATGCACATACAAGTAGTCAACATAAACATCTCATTGGTGTATCTGTTACATTCATTTCAACATACTATATAAAGCATATACCAAATGCATCAGAGTAAGTAACTCCAACATTCATAACAATATGACCGATAAAGAAAAATATCTTAATGAGCATAAAGTATGTGCATTCGCCTTCAACTGCAAAACTTTGAGAAGAAATAAATTATTAATATAGTGTAAAAATATGAGTACTCGTATGACTTGTTTCAAACACGTTTAATTTTTGCCTCTAATAATCAGCTGCCTACAATATCGTAAAAATATAATCTTAAGCATATCCGTAATTATACTTAATTAATCTTTTGATTATGTAACTGAAATTATTGATTAAAAGCTTTATTTTAAGTATTAATGTTACTTTGACCACCAAAACTTCAATTAAATCAAAATTTATGATTTTATTCAATATTTAATAAATGTCCGCTTAGATTTAATTAAGTAATTGTAAGCTTTATTTTCATATTTCAAATAAATGTTTCATATTATTATATTTATAATATTTATTAGTATTACCTATATATATGGTGCCTCCAGCTATGACCTGTTGGTGGAACAGACTCTTTGACGATCATCTCTCTTCAGGTCACGGGTTCGAATCCCACTCTGATAAGTTTGTCGGTAGTAAGGGCGGTGCTTAAATATTTATTTATATAGTTATATAGATATTTGTAAACATATCTAGAACATTATCATTAGATTGTAACGCACATTACAATAAAATAAATTTAAATTTTACAACATGAGTTCCGGATCAAATTAGGTTATTTAAATTAAAATATTTCTAATCTTTTTTTTTTATCATCATCAAATAAAAAAATATTAATAATAAATTGATCAACTAAAGATTTTTTTATCGTGTTCTTTCATAAATTTAATAAATAATTCATTTTATTTTAAAAAAATAAAATTAACGACACATGTCACGCGATGGGATGAATATTACATGTGAAGGTTTAGAACGCATCTTTCCATTATTTAATTTTCTTCATGGTTCCTGTCACATGTTCGATAGGGTGTAATTTGACTGTGGGTTGGCTTTCAAATATGAAATAAAGAAAATAATATTTAATTTATAAATAAGTTTTCTTGTAATTAAATATGCTAAATCAGAAACTAATTTCTTGAAATATATAATTAAATTTATATGTATATTAATATTGAATTATAAAAATTAATAAATAAGTTCAACCATGTTCAAATTTAATATCTTTAATGTTTGAGATTTAATAACATAATTGAATTTATTTATTTATTAATTAAAATAAATATGATTGAGTATTAAAGAAGCCAAGCGCTGGTTGTTCATTAAATGCATTGGTTCATTAGAATCTTAAATAGGAAATAGTATTATGTACGTAGTTCGTATGTGCCGATCAATCATTGAAATTCGAGTACATCACTCCTCACAAATTTATAAAGAACATATTTATTTCATAAATAAGATAATATATTAGGTTTGTCTTCCGAATGTGAGGATGACAGTGCAGATCATATCATGACGTGTTTTCGATGGTGTGACGCCATATAAGATAATGTTTAGCCATACAACAATTTCATGTTGTGCATGATTTATCAAATCCAATAAATTTTGGATTTATGAGTGAGACTTTTACGAAGAAAATTTGTATATTCATCAAAATTTAAATTTAATGGAACATTGAATTTAATTTATATATTTCTAATATTTAGTTGGATTTAATTTAAGTTCAAGCTTAAATCTCATTAAAACAATCCTACCTAACATTCCCATAGTTTTTTCTCAATATGGAGATAGAAAAACGTGGATTGCGTACTTGAAGAGACATTGAGTGGAAAAAATAAGTTTGGGAGGCGGAGAAAGCAGAGACTGTGATATGGGTTTCTCCGACGAAGAACAGCGTCTTCTCAACCCGCCGAAGTTAAATCTCGACGGCGATGAGGAGAGCTCGGCGGCGACGAGGGCGACGGCGGTGGTCGGAGCGGCTCCGAAGGATCAGTTCTACATTGCCCACATAATCTACTTCATTCTTGGAATGGGCTATCTCCTTCCATGGAATGCCTTTATCACCGCCGTTGATTACTTCAGCTATCTATATCCAGGAACGCCCGTCAATCGCGTCTTCTCGGTTGCTTATAAGCTCTTCTGTCTTCTCCCTCTCATCTTTATAATCGGCTGGGCGCATCTTTCGTCGGCCACTGTTCGGATCAACGCTGGTTTGGTCATCTTCACCGTCTCGCTTGTCGTTGTTCCCGTTCTCGATGCCTTCTATGTTCAAACAACGAGGGGGGTTTATAGCGCCTATGATGTAACCGTCGCTGCTGTGATTCTTTCTGGAATTGGGAGTGCGCTCGTACAGGGAGGTGTTATCGGATCCGCTGGAGAGCTTCCCGAAATCTACATGCAGGCCGTTGTTTCCGGAGCTGCGGCTTCAGGTTATGATTTGACCTCAGCCCCCTTTGAATCTTTCAAGCAACGGTTTCTTTTGTTTTCTTAATCTTTTCTGTGGTTAATGAAACGCAAAAAACTGAATAACTTAGAGATTAATAAATGGGATGAAAGGAGAATCTGTGATGGAGCGCGTTTTTTAGAATCTGGGGTTGTGGAAGGGGTTTCGCAAGTGCGTTTTGGATCAATTTTGCCAGAGGTGTCGTGTTTTACCGGCTTTGTTAGCTGGCTAGTTTGTTCGAACTTGTTTAGTTCATCTTACTTTGCACGTTTCAAGAGAAACCAGTGGTCCAGTGGAAGATCACTTGGTAGATTGAACTGTTCCAAACCTCCTCAATCCACTTCCTAAAACCGAAATATAAGTCCATTGTTGAGGGAAGGTTGACTTAGTAGGTTTTGGGTTAATGTAATCTGGGTTATTGGTGAGAATCAATTAATTGGTTATCACAGTTGGGAACTTTCAAAGTTGCTCAGAAGGTAGTTGTTTTTCTGACGTTTTCTTCTAACTAAATTTCATTAATGAATTCACTTTTACAAGTTTGCACAAACTTCAGTGTTAACAAAATTGCCCAGTGTTGTACCCCACACCACATGTCACGATCTTGACCGAGGCTTGAAATTAACAAAAACGGAAACAAACGGTCGGATGGTGAAACTAAATTTTTTATATTCGTTTATAATTTGACATATGAACGAGTCACTAATCAAATTAAATTAAAAAAATATATTTAATGTTACATTGTTAATGGTATCCATTTCTTCTATACATATTTTCACTTATATCGCTCATCCTTTAATCACTTAAAATTTACCCGAAAAGTTTGTTTAAAACAATTGTGAGTTAAATGAGTCAGTGAATACTCGTAGTTGTAAATCACAATAATACAAGAGAAACAGAAATGATATGCATGTCTGTCAAACTTTTAATAAGAATAAAATATTTAATGCTATTCAAATAACCTTTTTATATCAATAACATATAAATATCATTTTACATTTGTACAACCATCACATGAACACCGTGTGAAGATTTTGTCAATTAAAACACATCAATATCAATGTTCATTTTCATATACGTACACAAGTATCTTAGTCTTTCCCCACTAGTACCGTCAAGGGGGGACTCTATCATAGTTAGTCATGCACATACAAACAATTAAAATAAATATCTCATTGGTGTGTTTGTCTCATTCATTGCAGCATACTATATAAAGAATACAACAAATGCATGTAGAGCACCTTTGTTGAAGTTACAAATAGTGAGGGCTATTAATGTGGAATGAAACAATTTATTTGACCAGAATGATGAAAACCTCCTAGGGGAAATTGAAGATCAAATTTTTATCATCACTGTCATTATTAGCCTTATACCAACTTCTTTGCAACTAGTTTTATGAATTCTCGTTTGCCATTCAGTATTATTGAGAGCATCATGAAGCATTTAGTTTATTCCTCTAAAACCCCCTTTTTTTTAATTAAAAGGAAGCGAAGCATAATTTCAATTTTTTAATTTAGGTTAGGCACGACGTAATGCACATAAAAATTGTCAGTAGCATTATACCTTTCCCTATTTGGTTGCATGAATTGATACTTGGTTATAAAAGCTTTTGACAATGTTACCCATGGGGGATTCATTGAATTTATGCTTTATTACCCCAGAAAATGGAAAAAAATCGATTTATAGAAGATGAGATATTTGTATTAGAAACCTTGTGGATACTACTCAACTTCTAGTAGAATTAACCATCTGACCAATAGGGCTTTCTTGATTTTTAAAATTTTGAGGTTGTTAGTTCATTTGACTTCTTATATTAAAAAAAAAAATGTGGTTATTCAACACTTATATGATTTGCTTTATATGTTTCTAATGGTATGTTTGGCATTCAATGCCGTGCTATGCTGTATTGTACAACTTCTGCTTTATTTATGGGAATTTTTTTGAATAGTTGTATTTTTTATTTTTTTAATTCTTTTCTCCATAGTTTGTTATTTCTATTTTGTGCCAATGCCCAATTACCTTCATAATTCATTTATCTTATAGAGCTTGTCCTTTTCATGTATTTTAATCCCGTGCACTATGAGCTCTTCTTTTGGTATTCTAAGGATCATGCCTTGGTTTGATCTAGTTATGGTTGAGCCCTATCAGGTAAAGATTTTTATTTTTTGCTGTATTTGAATCTGGATGGAGATTAGGGATTTTAAACCTTTTTCTTAACCTCAGTGTTTAGGATATTAGATGTTTAAAAAATTTAAGCTATGGTTGGCCTTGACTCTTGGAGAACCTATAGATTTTTTTTTCTCGATTGTTAGTTTAAGGTTAAGCACAATTGAAGTGTGGAAAGTAAAAAATGTTATTTCTTAATCATGTTTTTTGTTAAAGATTGGGTAAAAAGGAGAATGGGAGATTACACTTTTCATGATACGTGATCAAATGAATTTAACAATCTATAATCCTCCCATGTTTTCACATTTTTATCCTTCACTTCTCCTTATTATTTTCTTTAAATTTCCTCCTCATTCTTCTCCTTCTTGCTATGATAATACATCCTTATGGAATACACTTAATGCCTTCGTCCTTTTTCTTGGATTGGTTTAAAAAGGTTTAGGGAGGTAGAGTTGTTATGTTTATAAGTTTAGAGAGAGATGTCTAAGTGATATCGGAGTTTACCCAAACTATGACGCAAGGCGAAGAATATTATTACTGAATAAAAATGCTGATACAATGAAGACTGAAAAGAAAGGAAAATAACCCCACAAAGCAAAAGTGCAAAACGAGACAAAAATGAAGACATAATAAGATTGACGAGGAGGGAGTTTGAGTGGTGGTGCAAGGCAGGCGGCTTCGGTGATGGCCGGAGAGACTTCTAGAAGGAGGTCAATGCGAATAATAGCAGCGGGAGAGTTGTCTTGCTGGAAGGCAGCAAGGCGGCGACCTACTGGGTGGTAGGCGGCTGTTGGGAAGAACCAAATGGTGCGCTGGAAGGTGGTCAATATGAAGGACAACAATGGGAGAGGAGTCCCGCAGGATGAAAACAAGGTGGTGCCCTCTTGTAGGGCTGGATAGTGGGTTGACAACAACAGGAAGGGTAGAAGAATAGATAAATATCTCGTCGGGGTCGAGCTACAGCCAGGGCATCACCCGAACTCGTGGAGATGATCACCACCTCGAACGATGGGCAACTGAGCACTACCTCGACGTCAGATACAAATCTCGAAGGGAAAATACCAAGGCTAAAATCTAAATTCAGATATCAAAATAAGGATCTCTAACCTTAGCCACATCAACTCCTATTCATAAAAGACTTGACCCAATTTTGGAATCATTTAAACTAAGAAAGGAAAAATAAAATAAAATCAAAATCACAAATTTTGGGAAGGGTTTGAAATTAAGAAAGGAGAATAAAATCAAGATTTAGGCTTTTGGAAAAGGATTTAAATTAGGAGAAGGAGAATAAAAAACCAGATTTCAGTTTCAGAAAAAGTTTTAAAATGGGAAAGTGCTAGGAAAGAAAGTGAGAAAAGAAGGAATGGAAAGGAAGGAAGAAAGAAAGGAAAGGAAGGAAGAAGGAAATGAAGGAAGAGGAAGGAGGGGGCGGCAAACCCCTTGCCTTAAGAACTGATCGGTCCTCATGTTGAGCCCCTGTTAGTCTCCCAGGGTTGGGGTAGCTTCGACCTCACCCATTGAAGCTTTTGGTCCTTTGACTTTAATCATGAAAGCACCTGGATCCCACTGTCGACTATAATGCCTCCCAAAGCACTTACGAGCGCACCTCCATCTTGGTATGAGCTGCTTGCACTGAAATTTTTTGGCATGTTAGTGGCCTTGATGGCTGAGAATCAATTATCATTAAAACCGGTCCTGTCACTCTGCTGGTAAGGGCTGCTGTCTTCTCGAGTGTTATCGAAAGAAGTTGAATAAGGCTTTTACCATCATTGGTGAATGAATATGTGTTTATGAATCCATCGTGCTTAGTCTTTTGGTCAAATTGCCACGGTCTTCCTAGTAGAAGGTGGCAGACATCAATGAGAACCACATCAGACCATATCTGATCCTGCAACTGATACACTTTTAAAAACTCTACTAGGCATTGCCGAACGATGCTGACGCTGTCTTTCTTCTTTAACAATGTCAGTGAATATGACTGGGAATGCCTCTAAGTCGTGAGTCTCTATTTTTCTATCATCTAAGTTGATGCCGCGTTCTTGTTGCTATCGATGATAAGACTGCGTACCTTTCGGTTCATAGTGCAGTAGATGTGGAAAATGTTGCGGCGAAACTACTGCGGATCGCTTGTGTCCTCGACCTTCAGAATTTGTCGAACCACAAGTGCTTCTCCATCATATGGTGTAAGTTGATCATCCTCACACTGTTCCTCTGCTTCCTGCTCCTCGCTAACCTCTTCGACGATGCTCTGTTCGGTAAAAGTTATAACTCTGCTCGTTAAAAGTTACAACTATGCTCGTCGGGCAGCTGTAAGCTATGTGCCCAAATCTGTGGCATTTGAAACATTTTCTGGTGGGCACAACAATCGGCGTCTTCTCACTGATGGTGGCTTTCTCCGTATCTGAACCAATTTTCTCAACTCTTGTGGCGTGCTACTGCCAGCGTCTCCAATTGTGGGTGGCTGCCGGGTTGGTGGTGGCTGTTGGCTCTGCTGCTGCTGTCTTTATACTTTCAATGCTTGTGTTTTGACATCCTCCGATGTCAAGTACGGTCATAATTACACCACATTGCTAATATTAAGCTTCAGGCCCCCAAGATATATGTATTTTCCTCCAGCTTAGTCAGGTCGCACTTCAGCTGTAAGTGGCCGAATTGAGCTGTGAACTCCTTCATTGAAACGAGTCTCTCGATTGTGTAGTTTCAAAAATATGTTTTGACTGTAACGAGGAGGAAGAAATTCTTCTACACGATTTTCATCTCCTCCTTGATAATGAGGCAGTGTTTGGCTGCACATTAATTTTATGTTTAGCATGATTTATCAATCCAATAAAAATTAAATTTGGATTTATCAGATGGGATAAAGATTGCTCCGACGCTTCGGGAGA